ACTTCTGTTGTGCAGTACTTCTGTTGTGCAGTACTTCTGTTGTGCAGTACTTCTGTTGTGCAGTACTTCTGTTGTGCAGTACTTCTGTTGTGCAGTACTTCTGTTGTGCAGTACTTCTGTTGTGCAGTACTTCTGTTGTGCAGTACTTCTGTTGTGCAGATAGTGCTTAGTCTGTTATTACAGCCCGCCGGATCTTTTGGCCGGGTCCGTTTGTCGGGTCCGTTTGTCGGGTCCGTTTGTCGGATCCGTTTTCGGGTCTGTGGCCGGATCTGTTTGTCGGGTCTGTTTTTCGGGTCTGTTTGTCGGGTCTGTTTGTCGGGTCTGTTTGTCGGTCTGTTTGTCGGACCCTGTCTGAGTTGACTATGTTCCTAACGATTGTTTAGGAAGTCTAAATGGATATGTCGTAATGAAGTGTGTGCATAGAAGATAAATCAGTGTAATATACATTTTTTACTTGGTGTGTAACAACAACTTCTCACATCCTCCACAGCTGACATCTCACATGTGTAACAACAACTTCTCACACCCTTCTCAGTTGACATCTCACATGTGTAACAACAACTTCTCACATCCTCCACAGTTGACATCTGTCAAGTTGTTAGAATCCCTGAGCGCCTGTTTTGTGCCAGGCGAACTATAAGTTCTGGTATAGCGTAGGGATACAAAGGGAAAGGGGGTAGTTCGGTAGCGTGTGCAGGTGGTCAGTTGGTCAGTAGAGCAGGGAGAGCGAGTGGGGTAGGACGCTGAACGTATCAGCGTTATTGTTAGTAGTTGGTGTTAGTAGTAGTAGTAGTAGTATTAGTAGTGGTAGTAAATAGTAGTAGTGTTGTGATCCATGTTGTATGTGTGGTTCTTTGGCTAAGCTTGTTAGCAGAACCCACAGTACTCATGGGAGGATACTTAGATTAGATTGTTGTAGATTATGATAATAAAGCTCATTATTAATTACCACTAATAACTCTTGAGTCCAGTGTTCGTGTACTCTTGTGTACTAGTGTACAGTGACAGTGTGTTTGAAATATCATACCCCTAGGCCTAGACAACGGAGACGA